TGTGAGGTATCAGAATTCATGAACATTTTTCTTACAGGTTTCTGTCCTTCAGTCTCAAAATGATTCTTCAAGAAAGATTTGTGTAGCCAACACTCACTTGTTTTGGCACCCAAAAGGTAATTTCTGTTTCTGATATTTTTTAAGCAGGTTATTATCTTGTATTTTGGATTCTGGAGTTGGATATAAATTGAGAATTGGTTAACTGCAGAATGGAAGCCTTTGTGGTACTGGTTTTTGCCACAGGGATAAGATGAGGTTCTTTCCATGTGCAGAAACATTCTTACTAAACTAAAGCAAGAACAGCAGTGGTTTCCAAGGAAGTCTATATTCTTGTATTGTTCATAGGTGGACTTCTTGTATTGTTTATAGGTGGATAACGCACAAGATCTATTGTTAATAGGACCATACTTGAATACCATGGAATAAAGTTTTTTAAAATGATGTCACCACTGAACAGCAAATACAGGTAGTCCTCGAGTTACGAATGTAATGGAGCCTGCCCATTCCATTTGTAACTTGAGGATTCATAGGAATGAATCTTGTACCTTGAATGAGATCACTTCCTGCTTTCACCCACGCATTCACTAATTGAATGCGGGATTCATTAAGTGCATATGAAGTATCTCAGGGTGGGGAGGGTCATGGGGGGGCTGGTGATGGAACAGGCCCCCAAGGCCTCCCTGACCCACTAAGATACCTCATGCTTCCCCCTCCCTTCCTGCCGCGCCAGACTCATTTATCTTGCAAAGATCTGTCTGCTCTCTGCCGCTGTTTCTTTGCCTTTGAGGGAGAGTTGATGGAAGTTCCTGGGTGTGAAAAGTGTGATGCTTGTCTCCTGCTCCTCCCCCCCCAACTCCTTTCCACCACCACTGGAACACTTTTCTCCTGGATGGAGACCTACTGGAGACTGGAAGCTTCATCTGCATGCAAATGGGGCACTTGGAAACGGAGTGAATTGCTCCATTTCCAAGTGCCCCATTTGAAAGCAGACAAAGCTTCCAGTCTCTGTCAGTTCTCCGTCCAGGCAAAAAGTGTTTGAGCACCTATGGGGCACATGGAAATGGAGCAAATCACTCCGTTTCCAAGTGCCTCATAGATGCCCAAACACTTTTCACCCAGAGGGAGACTGGTTAAACATTGGAGTGGGGAGAATGAAAGTTTCTGGAGTCCGGGATCTCGCGAGACTGAACTCGTGCGATATTACAGCACCCAGGAGCTTCCATCGACTCCTCTCCTTCAAAGGCAAAGAAACTGCGGCAGAGAGGAGGCAGATCTTTGCAATATAAGTGAGTCTGGCATAGCAGGAAGGGAGGGAGAAGCAGTTGTGGGGAGTGGGGGGAATAGGGTGAATGTTACAGAGCCTCTGCAGTCGTTTGTAAGGTGCCGTGGTGCTGCAACATTCTTAATTTCGGGACTTGCTCATAAACACTAGGGGGCGCTTATTGCGTAACTTTGAACAGGTACTAAGTCACACGTTGGCAACCTGCGGCTCCGGAGCTGCATGGAGGTCTTTGAGCCTTCTCCTGCAGCTCCCAGCCTCCTCTGCCAGACGAGAAAGGCACTTGCGCTTCCCTTGTGTGTGTGTGTGTAAAAAAGAGAGTGGCCTCACCCTGTTCTCCGACGAGCTGACAAGCTTATTGGACGGGGCTCCTGCCTTGGCTGCGTCTCTGCAGAAAGCAGGAAACAGGAAGGGCAGGAGAGAGCCAGCCTGTTGGAGAACAGCTTGAAGCCAGCTTGCCAGGTGAGCAGAAGATCGGAGAGAGGGGGGGAGAAAGAGGGATAGGAGAGAGAGAGAGAGAATGAACTCATGCACAGCATTCTCTATTTTTAATTAAATTCTTCAAGTTTCTCCGCCTCGTGCGCGCATGCGCACGCAAGTTTTGCAGCTCCCAGTGTTTTCTTTTCTCTGGGAAACGGGTCCAAGTGGCTCTTTGAGTGTTTACGGTTGCAGACCCCTGTATTCGTGAACACTTGTAACTCAGGGATTACCTGTAGAATAATTACTTGACTCTTTTGGGATGAGTATTGCAGTAGGAGAGAATAAAGTCTTGGATTAATTCAGGGAATGTTTAATGTCAACTTCAAGCCGGGGGCAGCACTCGCCTGACATTGAAAGACTAAGCACAGTCACTGATTACCCAGTCACCACGCTGCTTTCCGAATACTTAAATGTAAAACTGGAAAACCAATAAAATTTGTTTAAAAAAAAAAAGACTAAGCACAGTCAGACCAGATTAGTTGGGAAAGAAACCATCAGAAAATTCCAGGTAGAGTAGAAATTCAAAGGACTGCCTAGAATGGGGTCTCAAACTGAAATTATCACAAGAATCCTTGAGAACTGTTAACCTAGAGGCTGCAAGTGTTCTCAGACAGGAATAAAAAAAGGTCTCTAATGCAGGGATTCAAACTCAATTTCATTGAGGGGCGCATCAGAGTTGTATTTGACCTCGGGGGGGTGGGGGTGGCCAGCTCAACATTGCTCGTGTAAGGGGGCACCTGTGGTGGCCCAGGTGAGACTGGGGGGATCCCAGGAGGAAGGCGAGACCAGGGCGAGCACCATACCCTTGGCCACCAGAAGAGCCTTGCTGTCCCTCTCAGGCCATGCGGAGGATCCCCAGTGATGCAGGCTGCCTGGAGCCCTGGGCAGTGGAGGGCAAGCACCCAATCCAGCCTTTCCCAAGGGGGCACCCGGCTGCACTTACCGCCTCAAGGCTGATGCTGATTGGCTCACTCTCCTTGGCCAAGTTGCTCATGGTGTGTGCTGGAGGACAAAATGTGTGGATCAGAGGGAGGTCCACTCCCTCTCCCTGCGAGGAAACCTGGCTTTGTAACCAAAGCATCCTCAGTGATAGGATGGGAGACCACCAAGAGAGATCAGGAGGAGGGGACAAGGGGATGGCGAAAGAGCAGCAGGGCTGCTTGTGGCCAAGTGCTAAGGCAGGACTTCCCTCAAACCCTCCCTCCCTCTCATTATAATCTTCCTTCCTTCCCCCCTTCTTTTTCCTTCCCTCTTCATTCTCCTTTCCTTGTTCCTGTCCCTCTTTCCTTCTTTTTTCTTCCTTGCTCTCTTCCCCTTTTCCTTCTTTTTCTTTTTCTTTCCTCTTTCCTTTTCTCCTTTCCTGTCCCTTCTTGGATGCTCAAATGCAAAAGGAGAAACATTTCTCAATGCCTTCTTGCCTTGTGATCAAATGCCACTTTTGCTAGTAGTCTGGCCACTTAAAAGACTGAGAACAAACCAGGCTCGGTTTATCCCGTGCTTGCATTTAGTGGGAGCATCTGCAGACAACAATACAGCAAAACTGTCAAAATGGTGGCTGTGATAGTTGATCAGAGCTCCTCTGTTTTTTATGTACAACAGCTTTAGCATTTAGGAACAGAGGTAAGTTAGTTGCTTTTCTACTAATATATAATCCTTAAAAGGGCTCTCCTGTAGGGACCTTGCCATGGTCTAATTCAGACTGGAAATATAGCAAAAGAAAATATTTTCCCTCACTCTACTTTGTCCTGTTTTCCCCACTGGAAACGGTTGTTTGCAACACACGAGGAGGAGATACTTTCCTATGCTGCCGCTGGCCATGGCTATCCCACGCAGGCGGGTGGGAGTGGTCCCAGTGAAAGGGAAGCCTCATGGCTGCGAGGCTAGGGCCATGGAGGTGCTGGTGGAAGGGGGGTGGCACTGATCTATAACTTGGTTGCATCCATCAAAGCAAGAATGTGCTCAGCCTTAGATCCACCAGGCAGCCCTGGAATCAGCGAGGGGCTGCCCCGCCCCCTGGGTGTGCGCACAGGAGGTGTCCTGGCTGAAGTCAGCCTGCTGGGCAAGACAGCCAGCAGGGACACCGGACTCTGCGTGCTCGCCGCCTCCTGCACACATGCCCAGGGGGCGGGACAGGGACACCCGTCGCTGGTTCCAGGGCTGCCCCGTGGATCTAAGTCTGAGCGCATTCTGGCTTTGATGGCTGGCACCAGGTTATAGATCAGCGCGCGGTTGGCCTGGCCTGGCCTGGGGTGTCGCGGGCTGGTCCCTCAGTTTCCAGTGCAGCTCTGCGGGGCAGATGCAACCACATGGTGGGCCGGATTTGGCCTGCAGGCCTTGTGTTTGACATGTCTTCTCTAATGAGTGCAAGTGAGCTTTTCATAAGTTTATTAAATCAGAAATGTTATTGCAAAACAGCTATTTTTCTCAGCATTTCATTTTTGCCACAGCCTGGCATATTTTTCATTAACTAGAACAGTGGTGGCGAACCTATGGCACGGGTGCCAGAGGCGGCACGCAGAGCCCTCTCTGTGGGCACGCACGCCGTTGCCCCAGTCCTAGGCCTTCAGCTGGGTTTTATAAAACCTTTTCGCTTTAGGCCTCCGCCGCCGTGTGCAAAAAAAAAAAAAGATTCACTCAATCAGTCAATTTCAACTTCTCGTAGAAAAAAAAAAGATCTTGCAAAGTTGAAATTGATTGATTGAACTTTTTAGTCCCACCCAGTCTGCTGTTACCACCGCAGCCACGCCCACCCAATGGCCACGCCCACCCAATGGCCACACCCACCCGGCACCCGACGATGCATAAGTGGGTTTTGGGTTGCAGTTTGGGCACTCGGTCTCTAAAAGGTTCG